GATATATTCTAAAGACTGTTTTTCATTTTCAATCCAATAGTCATAATGTCTGCTTTCCTAGCTTTACAAATGTCATTTGGAATTCAGTGCTACTATAGGTTCAGTCCAAAGATTACTTTGTCCAGTTTTAACATTCCAAGGGTTTGAGAAATAAGACATGCAAGATAGTTCCTCTGGACGGCAACTTTGACTCCATTTTAAATTGTCTTTCTTTATATTATACTTTGTATTTCCCCTTTCGAATGAGATCTTTCCTTAAAGCATTACTGAACAATCATTGGAAAGCAACAATAGTCAGGTATTAAAGCATTGTTGGTCCTCCAGTGGTGGGAAGGCTCCTTCCTGTTATGTCTGTCTCACAAAGGAGCTAAAGTGGTGTTTTAGGAGCGTTAGGCAACATTTGAGCAATAGGAGCATCAGAACAGAGAAAGCCCTTAAAGTAAGGTGACCAGACGTCCCGATTTTGGCAGGACAGTCCCAAGTTTTAACAATTTGTCCCACGTCCTGCGGCATTTTAAAAAAGTTTCGATTTTTTGAAAGAATGATGAACCAAGAGACAGATATAGAGAAAGTAAAGCAACAGGCAGACTGTCAAATAACAGTGGGGAGGGGAGGAAGATCTGGAGGAGATAATAGATCAACCGAAGGACTTGTATACATGCATATAAGTACAACCAATGGACACAAAACTCTGGGGAGGGAGGGGATATGTGGGAGGGAGGGGGGCAAAAAAAAATTAATAAAATATGTAAAAATAAATAAATAAATAAATAAATATTGTAAAATAAACTATGTTATAGACTGTAAAAAAAAACAAAGTAAAAATGAATAAATAATACTTCTACATTGAAAAAAAAAAAAAAAGAATGCATGACAAGCTAGGGAATGGCGGGAGAACGGGAAGGGAATATATGGTTTTCAGCAGCCATGTGGCTATTTAGCCAGGATATAAGTTTTATATTATTTTTGTTAATTTTATAATGTTAAACTTTAATAATAACAAATAATTGTTGAGAACTGATTATTGAGAACTGCTTATCAAAGTTCGCATTGTTGATCAGTTGTTAGAATTCGACCACCATTGTTTGGACTTAATGAACAATGGCATTTTTTGCGATTGGCAAGGACGAAAATATTTTGTAACTGTCTCTTAGACGATACACATCGTACTGCATGCTAGTAAGCTAGTTAAACAAGTGATGTTATTACAAATCAGCTATTAAATAATTTAGGTAAGTAATTTATTTATTTATTTCATAAATACGTACATAAATTTTCTTGAATTTAGCAGACAGTACTCGTATTATTTATATTTTATAGTGGCAGCAAAAAGTCTAGCGCTGGCCTTGAAAGTGACACAACTTAAGTTACGCCAAATTCAGAGGAAAAATGATACAAGTTAGTATTGTTATTATTTAGAAAGAAATATAGGATTAAAATTTAAAAGTTTTTAAAAATATAGTTACTTTATAACAATAAAGTTAATTTAATTTATAAACTAACAATAAAATATGTTCATGTAATTATGTACCTACTTACTGTTTTTTAAGCAATATGTATATGATAATTTATAATATAATTTTAAATTATATTTTTTAGATTTTTAACCTAATGAGTAAGAAAAGAGGATGCAAATTCAACGATGATCTAAGAAGTGAATTTCTTTTTATTAAAAAAACCAAAAGCAATTACATGGTAAAATATGAGAAATGTAATGGTGAATTTTCTATTTCGCATGGCGGGAAGAATTATATTTTAAGACACAGAAACATAAAAGATATTTAAATACTGCTGCATCTTTCTCCAAAATATAGGAATTTTTTCAGAAAACAACTTAAGGGGATGAAGAAATTAGCATTAGCAGAAGGACTTATGTCTTTTCATGCTATTAACATATAGACCACATTTTTAATCAAGAACCCCCCCCCCCCCCCTTCCTGGTCAATGGTGTCCTGCTTTAACCAATGTTAAAATCTGGTCACCTTAATTTAATGGTATGATCTGAAATTTTATTAGAACCCTGTATTTTAGAGTGTCAGAGTCCTCTTCGTGAATTTCTCTGAAGATGAAACCATCTTTGCAGAAACACTTTTGCAAAAGCATCAGAGTAAAATATAATAACAACTGCTTGCAAATGACAAAAGACTTAAAAGATCTGGCGAGAGTTCACAAATACACACATAAAAACAATGCGAAGTGACTTGATTATCCATTCTAATCTTAGTTTGACCATATAGGAAAAATTTTAAAGTTTAATCATTACACTAGTATATTTCAAATTTCCTATTACTTAAACTTTTAAGCATTAATATTCTACTTTTAAAATAGCCATCTTCTTACAAATTTGTTTTCTAGGTTCATGAGTAGAACTAGAAGTTACTTGCTTTTCCTCCAAACCAGCTGGTTCCTAGAGAGAGCATGGACTCACAAGGTGGGGTTGTAAATGTACAAAACGTTTGATGCTGCCTCCTGTCTTCCCTGACTTTGGTGGGGGAAAAGGGGGAGGATCTGGTGGTGTTCCATAGCCCCCCAAAAAACACCTATTACAGGACACCAGCTTTTCTCATCGATTCCTGGAAAAGGTGACACTTTTGTCACTGGAACTTAGTGGGTGCCAGAGAAGTAGCCATCACTGAGACAGCTACTGGACCCCTGTTTAACAGAGTAAGCGGGTGCAGTCCTAACTCATATTGAGAAGAGGTAGGTATTGTGCTGCTTAGTTGTCCAGGCTCAAGTAACCACCTATTCTTTATGAATACATAACTGAAAGCCAATTTACATGCTTGTATTTCAAATAAAGCTTTAAAAGTAAATTAGAAATAATGTATCATATTATAATTATTGAGCAGTCTATTGGCTAAAGAGAAAAGAAGGCTTATTATGAGTGGCATTTACCTGGACAGCACATGGCCATGGAAGGAGATTAAAAAAAAGCACAGTAATGGCTTAACAAACATTTTGAATATAATTATAATACTAAAATGTTATTTAAATAATTTTATGTCCTCCTATTCCAAAAATATACTTCTCTTAATACAGTACACTATCCTAAGGTTCTCCAAGTGTAGTCTAGTTGAAATCTCAGTACCAGCAATGCCAGCAGTAGTATCAGCATCATTTGGAACTCATTAGAAATGCAGGTTATCCTACCCCACCTTACATCTTCAGATTCAGAAACTGCTTGTGGGGCCCATCCTTCTGTTTTTGTGCAGTTTCTTACAAGATTTTTATAGAAAGAGAAACAATGTGAGAGTGAAACTTGGACTGGCTGCCGCCTGCATGCTGCCTACCAGGGATTGAGCCTACAATTTGGGAATGTGGCTAGACTGGGAATCAAACCGGCAACCTTTCAGTGAACTGGATGGCTGACCCAACCACCTGAGCCACCCCGGCCAGAGCTCCTGTTGACCCTGATGCTCCATAAAGTGTGGGAATCACAGCATAATACAATTCTCAAAATCAGTGCTGCTGTGGACGGAGAGGCACCATTCAAATGCTAATACTTCTACATTAGGAAAAAAGGATTAAACTTTCACTTAAAAATATACATTTGGTCAGTATAAAAGATATTCCCACTATAGAAATTTTAGTATAAAAATGTAGAAAAAAGGGATAGAGGGGAAAAAACCCCTCCAACTCTTCCACGGCTTTCAGTTTGTCTAATTACAACCAGCTCAACTGAAAAGCCAAAGATCAATTCCTAGTTTCAAACCACTGAATGTGTCTGCCATAACCAATAACTCACTTGCAAGTGAAGGAATTATATTAGAAAAGTGGTTCACCTATCTTTAACCAGAAATCAGAAGCTCTAGGGATGAGAGCCAAGAATTTACATCTTGAACAGCACCCTGGTGAATCACACGTTCACTTAGCTTTTGGAGCCATTAGGTTAGACCTGTGGCCGACAAACTGCGGCTCTTTGGCCCTTGAGTGTGGCTCTTCCACGTACAGTGCGATTGAAACTTCGTGGCCCATACGCAAGTCGGTTTTCGGCTCTCAAAAGAAATTTCAATCGTTGTACTGTTGATATTTGGCTCTGTTGACTAATGAATTTGCCAATCACTGGGTTAGACAAAACAGTGATACCTAAATATCCTCGTTACCAATAAAGCACATTTATTAAAAACAAAACAAAACAAAACAAAAAAACAACTAAAAACAACTGTAATCCAGTTCTAATATCTTACGGCTCTCTGGAGAAATAATAATTCTACTTTTCTGTTGAAGACCCTGCTGCACTATAAGGAATTGGACAGAGCCCTGTAAGCTGGAAACAGGATTTCAATGGAACTGCTCTATATTAGTTCTATAGTATCAGACAAACATCCTAAATTAAAATGATAAACAAAATTATTTTCTAAAATATTGTAGTTATTTAATGTAGAGTTTAAAATGAAGTAAAAAAAATAAAATCTTAAAAAGCAAAACAAAAACAAAACCTCCAACGTTTCACTTGGTGGTAATCTCTTTGGCTTCCTGTCATAGGCCCCTTTCCCTCACCTAAACTTGCACTAAGGAAAAGAAGGGTGCAATGCCCAGCTGTGTGCTAGCATCCTTAGCTATGGTTCGCAGCAGCCTTCCACCAATTCTCTAGGATAACAGGGAGGCCATTCTATCATCATCACAAGAGCACAGACTCTGAAATCGGACAAACATCCCCTTTATTCCAACCCCGTCATAAGGTCAACATGCTTATTAGGTGTCCTTCAAGCCAGGTTCCTTATCTGCAAACCCCAATCCGACCAGGACTAATGGAGATGTTTGCCAAGCGTTTATCAAGTCGCGGGGCTCCGCTGGCACGTTTGTAGAAAAGCCAGAGCAGGGTTAGCAGGGAATGGTTGGAGCTGGACAAGCCATCTCCTTTTTCCCTCTCTGCAAAGCCAGCCAACGCTCTCCCAGCTGAGTGAGCAGGCCAACCGAAAGGTGAACCAGCGAGCAGCCAGGGCTCGGTCCCTTTAAGAGCTCGCCCCTCCCCCCCGCCCTTCTCCCCGACCACGCCCAGCGAAGGCGGAACCGGAAGGGGCGAGGGACGCGCCGGTCCCCAGCATGGCGGCCGCCTGGCCCTCAGGGCCGGCAGCTCTGGACACCGTGACTGTCCGGCTCCTGGGTGTCCTGTGGTTCGCGTCAGTCACCACGGGGCCCTGGGGAGCTGCCGCCGCCGGGGGCGAGGAGCCGCCTAAGTGCGAGGACCTCAAAGTGGGACAATATCCTCTGTGAGGGGCTCCCCGGGGAGAGGCGGACGTGGGACGGCGGCTGGGTCGTGGCGCCGGCCGCGGGCTGGGCTTGTGCTGACCGGAGCGGGGACCTGTGGCCTCTAAGGCCCCGGGGGGCGCTGGGGGGTGAGGAGAGACGAGGATTGATTGGGAAAAACGAGTCACCCTGTGTACGTACATTTCCTTGGGATTTTAGGATTGTTGGCGCTTTTCCTTCTGTCCCACCTGTTTGTTTTTATTTTATAATACTTTTACTGGTGGGACGGTTTGTTCCACAAACATACAGGCCCTGAAGTATGCCAGGTCCTAATCAAAGGCACCAGTAATAAAACGACCGGCAGGGCCTACCCTGGAGGTTTGCCGCCTTGGGGTGAGACCAGGCAGGGTGTGCTGCCCATGGTTCATGCACTTTACATGTTATTATTTACCTTTTTATCATTCTCAAACTCCTTTGCGATGCCAGACTGCCAGGGAACAAATACCTGCTCCACTTTGTACCCGGGGACAAACGATTTGAGCTAAGTTTTTTCATGATGAAAAAAATATAGATAACGGACCAATGTAAAGGTGTGTGGTGATAAATGAGCCCACTTAGAACAAGGTCTGGCACATAGATGGAAAGATAAGTGTTAGCTGTTCATTGACCAAAGAGAAAACTAAAGTTGAAGGGGTTGAGTGGGTCTATTCAATATAACAGTTCCGATAAACTGAGGGACAGTACGAAATGGGAGCTGCATTCAAATTAAAATAGCCACTTTTATACAAAATTAGATACTTGGATACAAATTGCATAACAGAAAAATTAATAGCAGAAGTCAGAGATAAAGATTTTAGGAGGGGGAATCTTAAAATTAAGAAAATTCTATCCTATAGTATTTTTATGTAAGTTGAGGAGAGGCAGCGGTTATTTGTGGTTTTTTGTTTGTTTTTTGCAGAGCAGCTCTTATTTGCTGAATACCATTTTGTTGAAGTTTGAGAATCATTAACTTAGCAGGTTGAGTTATTTTCTTGGCAAAAAGGTCAGGGCCATTCTCACAAAGAAAATAATCTTGCAATATGAAGAGTTGTGCTTTTTGAACACTAGAGAGAAGTGGCTGAGCATATAGGACTATAAGGTGATGATAACTGGAAAATATCTGTAACTCCTGGCATAAACATGAGATTTTCAAATGCTGACTCAAAACCTTAAACAGAGACATCTTGTGAATTTCTTACTTGTCTCATTATAGTGTTAATAAGAACATTTAGGAAACAGAAAAGCACACAAATGTTTTAAATATCTGTAAGGATATAATTATTATATCTGTTTCAAAAGGCTTAAAATCTTCTTGGCGAGACCATGTAGACCCATCTAAAGCGCCATCTGCCCTGCAGTCTGATGCACATGCCCTAGGCTTGGGGTCAGGAAACCTGATTTTGCAAGCCATCATTTATATGACTTTGGAGAAGTCACTCAGACTTTGAGCCTCAGTTTGTGCTTCTGTAATGTGGGAATAATAATGTGGGAATCTTCCGCACAGGGTTTTCAAGTTGCATGAAATTATGTAGATGGCAGTACTTGGGACCCCATAAATTAGTTCAGTCAAATCTCTGGAACCTTTTTTTTTTTTTTTTTTTTAAACCTTAAAGGTTTCTTACAATCATTTGGTAAATATTTTTATTTTCATTTTTGTGTGTGTGTGCTCTGTGCTTAAACCCTAACTGATGTTCTTTAAGGATGGGATTCTTTGCTAGAGCTTTTAGTATACATTAAGTTAATATATTTTTCCTGTAAAATAAATTAATGTTCAGGTATTATTTACTGATACTGATGATATGTTTGTGCTTGTCTTTTTTGACCTGGGTAAATTAACACCCTCCCTTTACATGTGAATATAAATATAAGTATATATGAGATATTAAACAGATGGTAATGTTTTGTGTTGGAATAGAGTTCACATTTCCTTAACTTTTCATAAATATATTTGTAAAGATCCAAAAATAAGTGATGCTACACAAGAACCAGTTAACTGTACAAACTACACAGCTCATGGTAAGACTTCCAGAAACATGTCTTTAAAAATACGTTTTAAAACATTATTTCCTAGATTAATGAATGATCACTAAAAGTCATTAATGTATTGTGTTGTTGTTTTTTGTTTTTTTTAAAATATATTTTATTGATTTTTGTACAGAGAGGAAGGGAGAGAGATAGAGAGTCAGAAACATCAATGAGAGAGAGTCATCGATCAGCTGCCTCTTGCACACCCCTACCGGGGATATGCCCGCAACCAAGGTACATGCCCTTGACCAGAATCGAACCCGGGGCCCTTCAGTCCCCAAGCCGACGCTCTATCCATTGAGCCAAACCCGGTCCCGGCGTGTTGTTGTTTTTTGTTTTTTTTTTTTTTTTTTTTTTTTTTTTTTTTTTGTTTTTGTGTGTGTGTGTGTGTGTGTGTGTGTGTGTTTTCTTGAGTTATAACATTATTCAGTTTCCAGGACAACTTAAAATTGGAGAACTGACTAGAGGATTTTAAAAAGAATTTTATTCTCTTTAATTATAAAAGTGGGAAGTTTTGTGGTTTCATTCATTTTTTTTTAAACCTTTGGAATCGATTTATATAGCTGTCTTGATGCCCTTTATTCACCAAGCTATTTTATGCAAAGGTGCTGCTTCAGATTTTTAATTACTTGTAAAGAACTTGAAATGAGACTGATAGTATAATAAGGTACAGTGAGCAGCTGTATCAACCACATTATGGACTTGTAAAATATACATTGTACACTGGTAGTCCAGCTGGTGTGGCTCAGTGGTTGAGCTTCTACCTATGAACCAGAAGGTCATGGTTAGATTCCCAGTCAGGGCACATGCCCAGGTTTCCAGCTGAATCCCCAGTGTGGTGCAGGCAGAAAGTGGCTGATCAATGGTTATCTCTCATCTTTAAAGTTTCTATTTCTCCCTCCCCCTCTAAAATAAAAAAAATATATATATATATTAAAAAATATATATATACTTGGATACATCCTAAGTATGAGAACAGTATGGTAAGGATTTTAAATATGCATCATTCTTTTTTCTTTTTTGTATCAGTATTTTCTTAGAGATATTTTGAAAATGGGTAAACCCTCACTTAATGATTTTGGGGACCATCTATTCTAAAATATGTATAATACCACAACCAGGAATTGCATATGCCCTGACCAGGAATTGAACCAACAACTAACGTCTCAGTGCATGGGTCAACACTCCAACTAACTAAGCTACCCCAGCCAGGGTTGGCTGTCTGTGTCTGTCTGTCTGTCTGTCTGTCTGCCTGCCTGCCTGCCTATCTATCTATCTATCTATCTATCTATCTATCTATCTATCTATCTATCTATCATCTATCTATCTATCTATCTATCTATCTATAATGTAGCTTTTCCTATCTAACTTAAAATCTCATGTCAGATGTTCTATTGGAAGGTGGTTTGCTATATGTTATATTCTCTTGTGTACTTTGCTAGTCTTAAAAAACAACACAATCACACCTTTCCTACAAGAAAAAATGGTTTCTTGTCTTTTTTCTGCTTTTAGTTGAATGTTTTCCAGCACCCAAGATAATTTGTAAAGATTTCAGTGGCAATGAAACACATTTTACTGGACATGAAGTTGGTTTTCTCAAGCCCATATCTTGCCGAAATGTGTAAGTACCTTACTGAAGTTACATTTTCAAATCACTTGCTTATGTTGTATCTTGATTGCATACAGTGAAGAGATAAAGAGTTAACTTATGGGGAAAATTCTTTACTAATTTAACTTTTAACGTTTTGCTTGCATCAGAAAACTTCTACTTTAAGTGTGATATTATATTGTTTTATAAATGCAATTTATCAACCAAGTAAAACTCTGTTGTTCACTACTTGGGATAAATGAAGACTGAACGGCCTTATGTCATGTTAGTTCAGTCATTTAGACTACCCAAATGAGTTAGGAAAAAATTCTGTTCTCAAAATTTGGGGGATTTCTAGAGTTCAAAATAAAGGACTATGTACCTGTGCTATTAAAAGAATGCGAAATATTAAGTCATTTGCATATTAAGGGAATTTTGAAACTTTTTTTGTAATAGGCATGGAAGATGCATGGTAATATAAAACAATTCAAATGTTAGTTTGAGATATTAAGATAAATGGCTTTATTTTGTTAGGAATATTGTTTGTTTAAAGGACTTTCAAGTTTGCTTTTAATTTTGCTTCGGTAAAGCTAACATTTTATTCCTCTATTTTTGCTTTGTGCTAAATAAAACTTAGTTTTTATTCACTTTTATTAATTGCTGGCACTATATTTTTACCTTTTAATTGTACATTATTGCAGCTATTTGATGATACCTATTTGAATTTATTTAAAAAAAAATAACCACTGTTTGGCTTTACAAGTTCTATTAGAATTCTTAGAAATTATTATTAGAGCCTTTTTTTCTTCTTTTGACCCTATTTCATTGAATTAATGAGTGACTTTAGATTCTATCTTGCTAAGCAATCATTTAGGATTCTTGGGTTCTAAGCGTTCTCATTAGAAAAGTAAAAATTGTTAGGAATTATTTCCAAAGTATTTAGATATGGTTTAGAAAATTTTGAAATTTATAGATTGATATTTCTACCTTAAACTTTTCAAATGACAATTTACTAAATACTGGTCTAAGATATTATAGGCTACTCGAGGCCCGATGCACGAAATTTGTGCAAGAGTAGGGCTTCCTTCCCCTGGCTACCGGCACTGATTTCCCTCTGGCACCCGGGACCTGGGCTTCCCTGCAGCTGCCAGCAGGTACCTGGGACCAGAGCTTCCCTTGCAGCCCTGGCTTTCCTCTGGATGGACAGAAGGACGTCTGGTCTAATTAGCATATTATGATTTTATTATTATAGGTAATACAGTAACTAAGAGTGTCATCTGTTGAGAACAGTTAGCTAGTACTCAGTTTGGACCTTACAGTAGTTTTCTATGATCTCTCATAGTAAAAGGCAGGGTCTATTCATGGCCCTGCATGAGCTGCCCTCTTTGCCCCCTATTACCTCTCTGATGTTGTCTTCTATTCTTCCCTTTTCCCCCTCTACTCCTACCACACTGTCCTCTTTAACAGACCTCAGCCATGTAAGGTGTGCTGCCTTTGTAATAGCAGTGTGTTGTCTGGGACACTTCCTTCAGAGGCATGACATGACTAACTCACCTCCCTAAGGTCTTTGCCAAATATCACCTTCCCTGTAAGCCCTCTAATCACCTTATTTAAATGGCTCCTGTTTGTATCCCTAGCATTCTGGATTCACACCCTGTTCCATTTTTTCCCATTTTTTTTAATAGATGATTTACTGTAAATATTTTTATTGTTTGTTGTCACTAGATTGTTAGTGCTGTAGGGGCAGGGATCTTTGTCTCTTTTATTCATTAAAATATTCCAATAGCCTAGAATAGTTGTTGAGATGCAGTAGCTATTCAAAAAGCATTAACTGAATGAATGAATGAATGAATGAACCAATTAACAAATAAATAATAACTAGCAGTTTTGTTTTCTAAGATGTTACATGCTGAAGGTGACACTCAGGTTCTTAATTTCATGCAGAAATGGCTATTCATATAAAGTGGCTGTTGCACTCTCTCTTTTTCTTGGATGGTTGGGAGCAGATCGATTTTACCTTGGATACCCTGCCTTGGGTGAGTATGTTTCATTAAAAAAAAGTTCTTGTGAACCTGTGTGATAGGTAAATGTACCTATTCTTTTTTAAAAATATATATATTTTATTGATTGTTTACAGAGAGGAATGGAGAGGGATAGAGAGTTAGAAACATCGATGAAAGAGAAACATTGATCAGCTGCCTCCTGCACACTACCTACTGGGATGTGCCCACAACCAAGGTACATGCCCTTGACCGGAATCAAACCTTCAGTCCGCATGCTGATGCTCTATCCACTGAGCCAAACCAGTTAATCTTATAGATTAAATCTTTGCATATTATTAACAGTTACAAAAGTTCCATGTACCTGGAGTAGAATCTACACTAATAAAAGAGAAAGATGCAAATTGATCATACCTCCGTGGCACCCACCAGCCAATCAGGAATGAGTATGCAAATTAACCCAAGAAAGATAGTGGGTTAATTTGCATGCCCAGGCGTCCAGCCACCTGGGTCCCGGGAACATCCTCGGGGCCCAGGCTGCTCAGAGCCTGTAGGCCTGTGTCCAGGCCCTGAGGGGCCAGGGTCCCAGAACACCCCTGGCCACCCTTTGCTTATAGGACTTGGTGCCAAGTGGCTGAGGGCGGGGCGGCAGAGGCTTCAGCAGGGCCGGAGTGCAACTGTAGTACAGGCTTGATCAGAGCCAGAGGGGGCCTGTCAAAGCCACGGCAGAGGCTTGGGCAGGCCTGGAAATGGGGGGTGAGCCAGACTCGTCTTGGCAGCAGTCCTTCCTCTGCGCATGAGCAGCAGAGGAAAACACCTTTTCTGACCGCTCATTGGCTAAGCTCCTTATATGCCACTGATAATGTTTTTGGTAACTTGGGTAATAAGAATCCAAAAAGGTGATCTAGGGTTTTTCCACCTCACTCCTGGAGGAAAAAACGAAGGTTCACTGCTGAAGGGCTAAGAAATGTCATATCCCGCAGGTTTGGCTCAGTGGATAATGCCTTGGCCTGCCGACAGCAGGGTTTGGGTTCGATTCTGATCAAGGGCATGTACCTATGTTGCAGGTTCCTCCCTGGCCGGGACCCAGGTCAGGACTCATGCAGGAGGCAACCAATCAAAGTGTTCCTTTCACATTGATGTTTCCCTCTGTCCTTCCCTCTCTCTTTCACACACTCTAAAAATCAATGGAAACATATCCTCAGGTGAGAATAAAAATAAAAAAGAAAGAAATGTCATATTCTATGAAAGACACATCTTGAAAATGCCTAAAGAAAGTTGTCATTTTTTCATGGTGAAGGGACTGGAGTCCTTGTTGATGAAAACACCTTGGCGGCTGCGGTGACTGGCAGTGGCTGCAGCAGCGGGATGATGGGGCTGGTGCCTTCCCCTGATCAGTCTGGTTGACTCCCGAAGAGGGAGGCCAGACTGCAGCTTAGGCCTGCTCCCTGTGGCTGTCCCCTGAGGGCTCCCAGTCTCTGAGAGGGGCAGGCTGGACTAAGGGACCCACCCTCCCCACTCCAGTGCATGAATTAATATTCTTCTGTTAATATAAGGCTCTGTACTACAGCTTGGATAAGAGATCCTGATATTTTCATCTCTCTCCATCTTCATGAGAACACATACTTGAGGTAGTATAGTCACTTACTTGGGACAGTGGATCTGAGCTGTCATTGTTAATGCTAGGCACACAGTGGAAGCTTGATAAATATTTTATGAGTAAATGAGCATTTCTCCAAAAAATATTTTCTTCTATCTGAACCTCTCTCAGTGTTGGCTTGGGAATAGAACTACGGAAGCCAGCATAAGCTGGTATGGAGCCTGACTTTTATTATCCTTAGCATCCCTCCTTATACCTTCCTCTTAGTTAGAATCTTCACATTTACCATAGCTAGTAAAGTTTATGAAAACTGTTTACATTTGATGATAGCTTTTATTTAAGCAGTACTTTCACATGTCAGCCCTTATTTAAGCCTTGCATCTCTCTTGAGTTTATCATCCTCTTTAAATCTTCTTTAACAGGTAGAAAAATTGTCGCCAGAGAGTTTAAGGGATTTACTGACTCTAGAGGCCTTGCTTTATACTGTGACATATTTGTTGTTATCATTCTTGTTTTATGGATAGGGAAATTGTCAAGAGATTAAGAGATTTGCCCAAGGACACTGAGTGACCTGAATTTGAACCCTAATTTTCTGGCTCAAGAGATCAGGCTTTATTTACTGTAGTACTCCGCTTCTACATTAGCTCTTCACTGAGCAAATTTAAAATTTCTGAATGCTCTTCTTTGTAGCGAGCAAAGCAAATCTTATTCTTTTCATGTTGCTACGCGCTAGAGATCAAAGAAGAATCTTCACTGTGAGGGTGTTGGGAAGTATGTTTCTGACAGCCCTACTTGAAGCTCGTGTTATAAGGTCCTAAATAGAAGTCAAAGTTTAAAATACTGTATACATGGATTTATTCAGTTAACAAACATTTATTCAGTATTTACCACCTTCAAGGAAGTAGTAACTAAGTGCTCTGGAAATAATGATGATCACAGTTCATATTGGCTATAAAGAAAATGAATATGTTTGTAGGTCAATTTATGACAAAGCACTATTATAGAACCATAGCAAAGTGCTATGTGAGCACAGAAAGTGACGATTTTGTCATTCTTGGAGTGTGAGGGAGGCCTTCTTGGATGGGGTGACTTTTGAACTATGTTTTGAAAGATAAGCTGATTAGAGCGAGTAAGGGCAATATGGGAATAGCATGTCAAAAAGACAGTAAAGCAACAAGCAGACTGTCAAATTATACTAGGAAGGGGAGGGAGATCTGGGGGAGATAAGAGATCAACCGAAAGACTTGTATACATACATATAAGTCCAACCAATGGACACAAAACTCTGGGGAGGGTGAGTATGTATGGGGGGGGGGGGAATGGTAAAATATGTACACAGATAATAATTTAACAAAAAAATAAAATTAAAAAAAGAAAAGAAATTACATACCTTAAAAAAAAAAAAGGCAACAGTGTGAAGGAGCATGCATGTTGAAAGAATGGTGGCTATATTAGCCTGTGGTGTAGAAGGAACGATGGCAGGAGGTGAAAAGTGACTGCACAGGTATTCTGTGGTTAGATTATGAAAGACTTGGAAGTCTTCTTAGGGCGTGTGGACTTTACCCTTTAATGTCAGAAGCCCTAAAAGTTTGTAAGCAGAGGAGTATCATGGTCAGATTTATATTTCAGGAAGATGAAACTGGAGGAATTGTGGGTAATATCTTAAACAGAGAAAGACTGGTGGCAGAGTAAGCTGAAGGGAGATTGATTTAGTAGTCTTGGCCTGGTGACAGTATAACTGCACATTCATGCCATTTGTAATAGCAACCATACCTTTTGATAACAGTGGAAAGCCATATAATATGCATGAGAAGCGTCCAAGTTGCCAGAACAAAAATTTAGTCTGTATTACTCCTTTTAGATTATGGATGGATGTGTTGGATGGATGGATGCATGGTTAGACAGAGAAACTAGGTTCATAATGAGAAAGTAAAATAACATGATGATATCAAATAGTTAAAATACTGCCAAAGCCTTAGTCCTTGCATTTTCTTTTTATGTTCTCTTTAAGAGAATAGGATTATACACACACACACACACACACACACACGCACACGCACACGCACGCACATATATTTATATATATATAGTCTAGAGGCCTGATGCATGAAAATTCATGCAAGTGTAGGCCTTCCTTCTGGCTGCCAGTATCCTGGCTGCTTCTCTCCTCTGGCCACTGACAGACACCCAGGACCTGAGCTGCTTCCTTCTGGCCTCCTGCAGGCACCTGGGACCCAGGCTGGCTTCCCCCCAGGCTGGCTTCCCTCCAGGCCTGGCTTTGTCCAGAAGGACTTCTGGAATGACATCTGGTCTAATTACCATATTACCCTTTTATTGTTATAGATTTTTTTGAAGCATTTCTAACTTTAAAAAAGTTTTTAAAAGATTAGGAGGAAGAAGAAAACATTGTTCTTTAGAACAGTTTATTCTGTGATGATTTTGAATAGTGAATATATTTTAAGTATTTGGCATAATGAGTGGCATTTTAACTTCTTGTAATGCTTGTCCCATGAGCTATAATGTCCTATAGTATGTTAAAGTTTTTGACTTATTGCAGCACATAATAATATGTTGATATGTGCATTGTGAAATTTTTTTCCTTGTACAATCAAACTATAGATATAAAGCTCTGTATAAAACTCTCTAGCTTTGGTTAGTGAATGTTGTTCACTAACTTTGGCAGGAGTTGCCTTTCTCTGACCACTGCTACTACAATCTATTATTAGCTTCAGTCAAAGAGAACCTTTTAGTTTGAGTCTGAAATTCTATAAACCTTCAAATATAAATAACATTTAACTTTATGGCTCAGTGTAAAGGTATTTTAAAAAAATCTTCAAATAACTTACTTTATTATCACAACAACCAGTGGATGTTCATTAATTCAACAATTTCTTTGAATTTGTTATCATTTGTTGATTTAGGATAAAGCTTTCTCAAGATTAGATCTGTGTTATAGTTCTTGAATTTTTGTTATCTTCCATTATCTTTATTCCATTGGGTTTTCGATTTTAAAAATCTCTTTACCATTTTTTAGTGGGATTTTTGGTGTGAGAGTTGCTAAGTGGGCATGTCAGAATCATTATCTTTAACTGAAAACCCTCATCTCTAAGCATTCAAGTATTTTTATCTGTATCTTACTTGCATTTAAGCTATCTTAATGTTAAAGATTAGTTTTATCAATTAATATAAAATACTATATCAAATTACAGTGTTTTTAAATTTTAAATTTTGTAGTTAATTTTTTTACTACGAATCCAAGGTTAAGGAATTTTGGCATTTTCGATTTAAAGATTACTTCCATTTAAAAAAATTCTTAACTGGATAAAATAATGTTGACTGTTATATAACCCTATTTAATTCTAATCTTATAAAATTTTATGGTTACAAAAAGCAGTGGTTGTATTTATAGATAACTTTTTAAAATACTTCTTTTGTT